CAATAAACAAAATATTCTAAACGATTGCTGTAACCAAATTTCCATTAATAATAAACAAAAAAAAAGAATGAAAATCGAAATAAAATTATAAAAACTAATCACGAAAATGTAATTGCACCAGAAAACCTTGTAGACATTATTTTTAATGCTCTTTCGGAAGACTATAACTCTGATTATTTATTTGAGCAACAAAAAAATTATTGAAGAAAATATAATGAATCCAAATAGTAAAAATGGCTCGATAGTATTAATAAAACTTTGAGCCATTGCATAAATTTCTCAAAATCGTTTTCTGGTTCTGATGTCTTTTAAAGTTATTAAGTTTTGATTAGTAGCTTGTAAGACTTTTTTATTAACTTGGTTCATAGGTTAGTTTAATCATTTTAAAAGACTATGGAATATTCCAAATGCTTAGAAAAACCGTAATTATAATACTTTCTGGCTGTAATAAACGTTACGTTTTCGAAATAAACAAAATTGCTCATCGTTATCATTTAGTTAGTCTATAAATTATTTTCGCTTGTATTTATTTTGCTCAAGTTACATGCCTCGACAAATTTGTCACGTGATGTTCAAAACTCCCGGTCCACAAATCTAATAATGCTGGCAAAATTTTTGGAATGCATGTGCTACTGCATTAATTAACTGTTAATGTAAAAGTTATGTACGTACGTACGTACGAAATTCATATTTTATGCACATATATGCATAATTGACCAATTAAATTGAATAAAGAGGAGGGAAAAAATGTGAAAAGGATTTTTTCCCCTAGAATCATTATGGCATTAATACTTACGTAAGTCATTATTTCCAAAGTATCATATATTTTACTTATTTTCTAATTAGTTTGAAAATTGTAGCAACTGGTGGACTGGTTATATCCCAAAGCGAATTATAACTATCATTCTTTGTATCTTCGCTATTATCATCAGTTATGCTGGTATACTCCAAAGTTAAATCTTTGTCTTTAAAATTTTGTTAAATTTATTTATTAACTATTATTTATTTCTTTTATAAAAGACCGTTCAAATATGGCAATTGCCATAGTTTATATGGCTAAGGAATTCAATTGGAATCATACTACACAAGGATTTGTATCGTCATCATTTTATTTTGGATATTTTACGACTCAAATTATAGGAGGTGCGCTTACTGATAAATTCGGTGGCAGGATAGTATTAGGCATAGGTGAGTTACATTCTAAATGATATACTGTTTAAAAAAAATATTTATATTTGGTTATTTCTTTCCAGCTGCCGCAATTTGGACACTTTTTACTTTACTTACCCCAATTTCTGCCAGAATAAACATTTATTGCCTTATACTATGCAGGGTTTGTTTAGGAGTTGGTGAAGGTGCAACTTTTCCATGTATTCAATCCTTAATCACTAAATGGTTTCCACCTGAAGAACGAAGTAGAGCTATTTCAATAATATTTGTTTCTAATTTTATTGGTATGGCAGTCGCTATGCCAATTTCAAATATATTGGGTTCTAGTCAGCTTGGCTGGGAAAGTATTTTTTGGATATTTGCAATTGTTGGCTTTATTTGGTCCGTTATTTGGCATTTTTATGGAAAAAGTGATCCTAGAGATTATCCAGGAATTAGCAAAGAAGAATTAGATTGGATTTTGGAAAGCAAGTCAAGTTCTTATTCTCATGATAATTTTGGACACTATCAATCAGGATCCAGGGAATATATTACGATTACTGAAGATGATCATGGTATTCAAAACGAAAACGATACGTTATTACCAAAGAATCAAATATCATCAAGACCACATTATATAGATAAAATTCCTTGGAAATTGATATTTTCTCGTCGTGAAGTGTGGGCAATTTTACTTGGTCAATTTTTTAATTCATGGGGTTATTATATTCTGCTTAATTGGCTGCCAATATTTTATTATGAACATTTTCATGTTGACATTAATTTAATTGGATATTACACTGGTATGAAATCTTAATATTTTTAATACTGTAATATTCTATATATTCACTTTATAAATTTGATAAATTTAAATTTTTTAGCTTTACCTTACTTTTTGTACATCATAATGGGATTTACAGTCGGTTATATCTGCGACTATGCGATTCATCAATTAAAATTTCGTGTTTTAACTGTACGAAGGTCTGTTAATATAATTGGAACCTTTGGAATATCAACATCTCTTTTACTCGTAAGCATGAACAAAATTGCAAATTTTTATTTTATTTATTGTTGCAACTTTTGATGAAATTGGCTGATGCTGAAGTTCAAACCTATTTCAAAATTTCAAAATGAAATTTAAAAAATTTTTTTTTTTGCAATTTTTTTTTAGCCATTTTTTAAAGTTGGGTTAGGATTTAGGATGAGTTTATAATAGTATATATGGATTTTAGTAGGGTTATATTGTCAAATCAAGTCCCTAAACTTCTGCATCTGCCAATTTTTACATCTACCGTGACATTTATTTTTTTTATTAACTTTTATATATATATATTTACAGGCAACATATTTTGCAAAAACTTCACTTCAAGGATTATTGGTAATAACGATTGGATTTACTCTATATTCATTCCAAATCTCAAGTCTAAATGTATCTCAGGTAATCAATTAATAATAAAATTAAAATAATAATCATTTATTTTTTATTTATTTAATATAAAATTAAACCTTTCAACTATAGACGGATATTGCACCAAAATATGCGGGCATAATATATGGCTTAGGAAATACTGTTTCAGCGGTTCCAGCTTTTTTTGGTGTAGCATTAACAGGTTGGATATTAGAAACTACAGGTAATGATTGGAGAGTTATCTGGTCTATGTGTTCTTTGTTCTATATTTTTGGTGCGTCATTTTTTGTATGCTTGGCCGGTGGAGAGGTAATAATTGATTGAAGTGATGGAAGAAAGTGTGGCATATGTATTATATAAATAAGTATTTAGCTCAATTTGTTAAAATCTTTCCTATATACATACGTACGTAGCCTGTGTAGAATATAGAATATACTTATAAATATAGTAAATAAGAATAAAATATTAAACAAACTTGTGACTTTATGTCATACTTAATAAAGCTGCTGAGGATATTTCTAAAAACTTTTTGAAGTTGCCACAATAAGACAAATTACTGTAATAACCGTTTTTGTCAAAAGACTATAAATGGAACAAATTTTTTAGTTTGAGTATTTTGCACGACAAAAGTCTCCAAATCTTCAACAACGAAATTATTGACATTTTTAAAATCAGCTTTTCATAATGACTTTGTTTACAAGATCCATTCAAATCATTTAATATCATCCAATTTCCATCACAACTATAAATTGCTGCTGAAGGATTTTTCATTCATGCAAAACAAAAGATAAAGCTACAAAATTTTATTCGTAGGAAAGTAATTATATACTGTATATATACATTCATAAAATCAAGAAACATCAAATAGTAACTCACCTATCATTAGTCG